ACCTACAACTTTGAATAGGTGGGCATAGTCCTAAACAATATACTTTCTAGTAGCCATCAACTTTTTTATTTTCTAAAAATTCTATGTTTCATGTGGAACCAGAAGCTGTTTTGTAACTAGAGGTGANTTCGGCACAAGCCGAACATTCTTGCAAACAGGTCTGGCGCCCGGTTCTTTGAAGAATACACTGATTACCAACAATTTCTCAGGGCTTGCCACAAACATTATGCCTTTTGTTGTGCAAAAGAAAAAAAAAGGAGGGGGGGGGGGAAATAGCAGAATCAACCATCTGGCAAATGCCCCAGAGCTAAAATCTTTCACACGGCTTATAATTCACAATGATTAAATATACAAAAGCGGAAAAGAGGAAGAAAGGGGGGGAAAAAGAGAGAGAGAGTTATACTATAGTATGTTAAAAAAAAACAAAACCAGGGGGACTTTCATTGCTTGATCAAAACCCAAAGCCATCCACGGAAAAAGTATGTGAGCAGCAACACTTATATAGTTCCTTCCAGGCTAACGGTTTCAATTTGCGACTTGCACAATTGCCGTTTGAACCCTGTCACAGCTAACTGGGGGCCTGGGTGTCGCCAGGCCATTTCCTGCCCTGTTTTTCAAAGGCCCAGGTGTGCTTGCCAGGGCGATGCCAGGCATGGGTGGGCAGAGAGAGAGAGAGAGGGATTCAGGGCTGCAGAAGTGCCAGGGAGGAGCAGAAGAAGAGGGCAGGGAAAATCGCAGGGTGAAAAAAGGCTCGTTCAAGGTGGAAGATGCATTTTTAATCCTGGCCTCTTTGCAATTCCTCTCTCGAATCCCAGGCGGAGGCAGAGTTTAGTTTCTCTCTGGGTGGGTCTACCTGCCCTCGAGGGGGAAAGCGGTCTCCTCCTCGAACCCAGCTCCTTAGGAAGAGGCGGGGGTGGCCAGCGAAACCATCTCTGCCGCTCTCTCTCTCGCCCAGAGGTTCCTAAATGTTTCCTGCCATCTGTTTTTGATGCTTCCAGATCTGGGCAGTCGCCTGCCAGGGCTTTCCTGCTTTTCCGGCGAAGGAGCAGCCCTGGATCCGTTCCCTCTCACGGCTGACCCTTCCCTTGCACGCTCCCCACCCCCCCCCCCCCCCCCGCCTCTCTTGTCACCTCTGTGGCCCCCGCCGGCTTCGGAAGGCCCTCCGGGGACAGCCAGTGTTCCTTTGAGGGCAGACAGACGCTGCCGATTTCAATTGTGTCCCTGCCCTTGAAAGGAAGGGACGGGCTTTGGCACTGGATCCCATCTTCACACCCATGTGTGTCTCAGAGGGGGGGGGGAGGAGGGGGCCACGCTCCTCCACACGGCCCAGCAGCCACCCCTTTGCAAAGCGGGATCCGCACGATGATTGTTGTCCCGGCTGTCGCTCAAAGTTTATAGCAATAGAAGGAAACAAAGGGTGCGTTCAAAGCGAAGACGGATGGACGGACGGACGGACGGGGGGGGGAAGAATTCCAAGGAGTCCCTTTCCCTCTCTTTCTCTCCCTCTCTCTCTCTTTTTCTCTCTCTCTTTTTCTTTCTCTNTGAAGTCCGGACATCTTCAAGTTGCCAAGGTTGAGAAACACTGGGCTAGACCATGCTCTCCCTCTCCTCTTTCCGTCCACCCACCGCGTCCTCTTTGGAGGCGAGAGGAGGCCTGTGCAGGGCGCCGCGACTGGGTGCAGTCCCGATAATCTCTTCCTAGTTTCCTGGTGCTGGAGATCCAGACAAGGGAAGGAAGGGAGCTGGCCTGGGGGAGGCAGCGGAGTCTTCTCCCGAATGGCTTTCCCACCAACCTTCTCTATTTTGGGGGGCCTCCGGTGGCTGGAATGGGGAGAGGCCTAGGCTTCCCCCCCCAGGTAGCAGTTCCTGGGAGACTCCTCCGGCATCTTGAGCTGATCTCCAGGAAGAGGGACTCTCACCTCTCTGAGCAGGTGGAGTTCATCTCAGGCCCCTCCAAGCAGGGGAAGAGAGAGACACCTCCTGCCGTCTTCCTTGCCCTGATCTCACAAACCTCACCTTCCCAGCAGGGTCTATCTGACATAAGCTGCCTTGGGGGGGGGGAGGGAGGGCAGATCAGCGGTCCCCTCCCCTTCTTGCTCCCCACTTCTGCAATGCCTCCCAAGCTTCTCTCTGTTTTTTCCCTGGCAGGTGATCTTATTCCAGTATTGATTGATCCTTTCCCTCAATTCCCGGGACTTTTGATGCCGCTGCTGCTTTCAATCTCCCCAGCATTTCATCCCTTGGCCACCGAGGGACCCGCTCAAGATCTAGGCTTCTGGGTCTCAGCGGCCGCGGCTGTGGCCACCACCAGTGAGCGTTGAGCGTTGGCCAACGGCGTTCTCCATCGGGTGCCGCCTGGCGAAGACTCTGGGCCTTCTCCGAGGACTTGCTGTGGATGTATCTTGTCTTCTGCTGCCGGTTTAACGGACGTAAAGACGGGCATTGTGCCACCTGGGCTGAATGCGTTCCTTCAAACACGGGACGCGGTTGAGCTCCGACCTTCAGAATCAAGTTCCACCGGTTCGTCTCGGCGTTCAGCCAGGGAAACGAGGATGGAAGGTGGGAACTTTCTGTGTTTCGACAGAGGCGGCGGCCACGGATCTCCTTCCGCTGATTCCTTTTCGACTCTCGAGGCTTTTGATTTTCCCCGCAAGCAACATTGTTCTGGGGTTTTTGGGAGGACTGGGGGGGCTTTGCGGCCCTCCAACCAGAGGCTGACCCTCCGAGCCCCTCCTCAAACTCTCACGGGTGCTTCCCATCTCGTCACCCAACAGCCGTTGGGAAAAACGCTTCCCTCCCTACATCTTGGGAGCAAAAACCCAACGAATTGGGGCTTCAGCCTTGGCCCAGAGCTGAGAAAAATGTGGTTTTTTTTAAAACCCTCCCAGTGGTAAAATCGAACTTTAAAAAGAAACTTGTGGGGTGACTGGAAAGATGGGACTTTTGTGCTGCCGGGACTGTAGCAAAACTGGAACTTCTCTCTCTCTTCTCCTCTTATTTAATGGCGTTTGGCGTCTTCAGGTCATGCTCTCCCCCCCCCCTCCTTCCCTCCCTCCCCCTGGAGAGCTCCCGATCTAGGCAGATCCCCCTCTTCTCCCCGGGCTCTGATGGCACTGATTGTGTTCCCTAGTTGGGTCGCGAAACGTCTGCAAGGAAAACCACCAAGCTCAGAAAGCATCAAGGACCCCCACAGTCTTCCTCCTCCTCTTCCTCCTCTTTTCCCCCTTTCTCTTCCTCCTCCTCCTCTTCCACCCCCCCTCCTCCTCCTCTCCGCAAACCCTACTCCCATCTAGCACTGATGATGTTCCCTAGTTGGGTCACGGAACGTCTGCAAGGAAACCACCCATCTCAGAGAGGCCCCCTCCATTCAACCCATTCTCCTTTATGGGTACGATGGCCCATTCCCATCGCATCCGTGGCTTCGTGGTCCTTCCGCGCCCCTTGGGAGGCTCCATCCACAGAGAGCCCAGCACCACCTCCTCCCGAGGATTCCCCCGCCCGGAGAGCTGGACCTGGGGGACGGAGCCGACAGGGGTGTCCTTCTTGGTGGTCGAGGGCAGGAAAGGGGGCCCGTGCGGAGTGACCCTTGAACTTCCTGGCTCAAGACATCCTCCTGAATTGTGGAGGGGACAGAGGTCGCCCTCCCTGGCGGCTGCTGTGTGCATTTTGTGTGTGTGTGTGTGTTTCTTTCAAAGGGACGGCAACTGCTTTTGGGGGGGGGTCAAGCAGTGGCTTTGCGGGAGCTGCTTTTTCAGCCCCTCCGCATGAGGAGGAGGAGGGGGGGGGAACCCAAGGATGAATGTGGGGATCAATCCCAGAGGACAGAAAAGGTTTTGTCTTGTTGTTCTCTGATCAGGATATTTTTAAACACGGTAAATTTTGCTCCCCCTTCCCATCTTGCAAAATTGGAATCCATTCAATGGATGTTCCATCCATTCACCCTTCGTGAAATGGAAGTTTCTGGAAAATTAAGGCCTGCCCCAGAAGAGGAGGATGAGTCCTCTTTGCAGCAACCCCTCGTTTAACCGAAGTCTCCTCCCTGGGTGAAGCCATCTATCTACATTGAAAAACACACTCACACACAAACATATAGCTGAGCGAAGGTGATCCCTGACCCTGAATGGGCGAACTCTGTGCATGCTCAGAGACCTTCCTGGAGGTTGGGCTACTCTGCCCTATTTTTGCCAATACTGTGCCCCAAACGACGCCTCCAGCATTGGGGAGGGGGGGGGGAGGATTTAAAATATGAACCGTCATTCTCACAATCACCCTGTGCAAAACTTCCTGGCCTAATTCAGGCTAGGAAGATTAGTCCAAATCTGCGTAACTCGATTCCTGGCAAAGGAATTCCTGGCTTTCCTTTATGGAATACGTTTGAATTTTTTCTATCGCTCTTAAGAGCTGAAGGAAAAATCAAAGTGGGATCCAGTGAGATGCGGGAAGACAGAGGAGGCGACAGAATTAATTCCCAGGCCAATTTTTGTTCGAAAAATGTTCCGAAATATCCACGCCGATAACGTGTGTTTAATTGAAACAGGTTGAGCTTGCAAAAGGGGGGGGGTAATCTCAAAAAGCAGTGTTGGGTCTCTCTCTTTCTGCTTCTTCTTTTTTTAAAAGCTGGGGTGAGCAGAATTAAGGGGGGGGGGTTCAGCAGACGGAGGGGTAACTGCCTGGCCCGGTCAGGAGAAGCCGGGAGGGGGGGAGGGTCCCGAGGTGTGCCAAATTGTCTCGGGGAAGAAAAAGAGCAGACTGTTTTCTTTTTCTTTTCTTTTTTTTGTAGATTGTGGCAAATTGTGCATGTCTAGAGGGTGAACATGGCTAAAAATAACCTTCGGAAGAACAGGCGGTCAGGACCGGTAATTTATTTAAAATAAAGAGACGAGAGGGGTGGGCGCTGTGGGGGGGGGCAGGGGAGCGGGAAGGGAGGGAATAATGAAAAAAGAAAAAAGAAAAATTGTAAAGCACTTTTTTTTAAAAAAAGAAATTCAAAACGAAACAAAAAAGGTCAAAACCAATGTTTGTTTTATTAGCTCCCTTTCGTTGTCGTGCTTTGTAAAATGTCTTATTTGTGTAATAAATAAAGTCGAGTCGAGTCGAGGTGCGGGCACTGACATCACGGAAGACCGGTTCCCTTTTCTTTGCTTTGAGACTCCTCATCCGGGCGCCCGTCCTTGGCCTTGGGTCCGCCAGTGATGAGGAGGGCAAAACAGACAGACAACAACAACAACAAAAAAACCCCACAATGAAACCTTCACTCCTTGTCTCCTCAGGGGAGGGCAATGAACCCAGAGGGCGTCGGGCAAAGGATGGGCTGGGGGGCTTATGACGGGCATCCCGCTTGCCAACCTGGGAGGAATAGGACCCTAATTGCGGGCGATTGGCTCACCATTTCCACTTACGGCCCCCCGATGAAAGGAAAGCCGCTGGGCACCCTTCTCTTGGCAGGGGGAGGCCGCGTCGGCCGTAATGGAGAAATTATAGGGGAGGGGTCCTCAGGCGGGGGAAAAACCCAAGGGGAGCCGGGCCCTTCCTCGCGTCCTCCGCTCACCTTCGGCTTGAAGCCAACGCATTCGTCCCAGCCTTTACGGCAGGTCTTCACGATCCAGTCGTGCTCATCGTCATCTAAGGGGAGACGACGGTGGGGGGTTAATTGTGGTAGGGGGTGGTGGGGAGACACAAAAGGAGAATTAAAATGGATTTCATGTGTGTGTGTGTGTGTTGTGTGTGGCTTTTCCTTGTCAAACTTGGGAGTTTTGGCCCAAGGGCTGAGCGGAAGAACAATGAAGACTTAAGAATTTAAGACATAAAAGGAGGAATTTTTTTCAAGGCGGATTCAAGGTTTTCCTCGACAATGCATTTTGGGCTGGCAAAGGGGCCACGTTTTCGGTTACTTTAGCAAGGCGGCAGGACTTGGAAATAAGCCCAACTGAGTTTAAGTAGGGTTTACTCCAGGTTAAGTAATGAATCAAGTCTGATTCCCTGCCCTGGACGTTGACCACAGCCTGACTGCCTTTTAAACAGCGCCGTTTCATTTCATTAAGGTCGTTTTTCACGCTGTCAAAATCTGGCCCTTTGTTCAGGAGATTTCAGAAAGCATGGAAGGGGGAGCTTATGATTTAATAAATCGGGGGGGGGGGTTTCCCCATGCATTGGTGGTGGGGGAGAGGGGATTGAAGGGCATTTTAATCAAGTCCCCTGAACCGCTCCGAATCTTCACATCTAAACTTGATTCTACCTCCCGTGTGGCTTAAGTGTTAGGGCGGTTAATCTGGCCACCGGTTCAAAACGGACACCGACTCCGGGATCCCCCCAATAAATAGATTTTCATTCCTTTTTCTCTCTCTCTTTTTTTTTTTTTTGCCTCTGGGAATCCAGGTTGTACCCACGTCGCAAATTTCCCAGTTGTGGCCAAGAGAGGTGAAGGAAAGGGTGAGAATGGAGTCTGGGGGGGGGAGGCTCCCCAGTGAGATTTCGGAGGGGCTATAAATGTCCCCCTACTGTCCCGAGAACTTCCAAGCTGCGTGGGTGGGGCACATGGGTGGCTCCATGTCCCCCCCCCAGATAATTTGCTCAGGGCTAGAAGACGGGAGTGGACCCCTCGCACATCCAGGAACACGAATCTCGCCTCCTGCGCTGGCTGTGATTCTGCCTATTTGCAGGGAAACAGGGGGGTCTGATCTCTCAGCCGCCTTCCCTGCAGGGAAAAAACACCAAGACTTTTGACCAGGGAAAGGACAGGAAACCGGGTATCTTTTCCGTCTCTGCGGTGGGAGCTTCTCCGGCTTCAACGCTGAGGGATGCAGAGGGCTCAGGGCATCCTTCATCACCCCAACGCTCTCCCTGGACCTCCCCAGAAGGACTGTCCAGGCGCGGGTGGGGACAGCCGAGCGAAGGGTTAACGGCTGGAGAGGAAGAGGAGGCAGGCTGCCTGCTAATCAGGCCTGCCTGCTCTGAATCGCTGCAGCTGTAGCCTCTTCAGGATGAAACAAGGCAAACTGGGTTTATTGTGCTGAACGAGTTCGGGTCTCCTCCCTGATTGTTGGTAATTGGCGGCCAGGGACTTTAACAGCCTCTCCATCATGTCTTCTCGCACTCTACCTGACGGTGCAGCTAACAATTTAAATCACAGATGCCGGGGCCCGGGCTCGCCAGCAGCTGCTCTCCACCGCCCCGGTTCCCCCTCTGTGCCGTCCCCCCAGCAGCTCCCTCGCCCCGCCACACCGGGGTGAGCCTGAAGAGTTGGGTTTTCATCCATATTTAAAACGGAATTAAAAGCCTCGGACAGACTTTGATTAGCGTTCCCAGACGGCAAAGTTGTAATTACCTTCCTCTTTTATTTTTTTTTAAGCTAAGACAATTGTTGAGCGATATTAATAGGAGCGTAGAGGCACATCTTCGCCTTCGGATGTGATTTCCTTTTTTTTTTTTTTAAAGGGGGCACTGGGGGGGTCGGGCAGGGTGGGGGAGAAGAGGGAGAAGGGAGAATACCAAATACTCTTTAATCAACTAGAAATTATCACCCTGGTGCAATTGGGGGCTCTCTCTTTCGTCTGTTGGGTGGGAGCGGAATCCCATCGGGATAAGATTTATTATCTTTGCGACTCCCCCTTTTCAGTGGCCCCCATTTGCGCCCGAGGAGGAGAGTCCTGGCTGGACCGAGAAAGGGTCAAAGTCACCCTGGGTTGGCATCCTTCCCCTGGCACCCAAGGAAGGGCAGGAGAGGTATTGAATCCCTGGGGAGCGTCCGTTTGAAGGGAGCCTGGATGGAGTTTTGAAGAAGAAATTGGACTGCAATGGTCTAGGGCAGTGTTTCTCAACCTTGGCAACTTGAAGATGTCTGGACTTCAACTCCCAGAATTCCCCAGCCAGCTTTTGCTGG